AACCCCAACGTGAGGGGGTAGGTTCACGAAGGAATTCTCGACGCTTCGCGTATCCCCACCAGCCTTGCACCCGCCGCCCCGTCGCCGGCCGCGGCCCGCGCCCGCGTCAGGCCAATTAGTTTCGGCCGCAGCCCGACCGTTACTCGCCGCCGCTGGCGCTTCCACCCGCGGCTTTTATATACATATATATATAATTAATAATAATAATAATAATAATAATAATAATAATAATAATAATAATAATAAATATTACTATTATTATTATTATTATTATTAGTATTGATTATTATTATTATTATTATTATTATTATTATTATTTTATTATTATTATTATTTATTATTATTATTTTAGTATTATTATTATTATTAATATATTATTATTATGTATAAATAAGAAAAAATTATAAATGATAATAATATTAATAATCATAATGATATAATATAAATACTAATAAACAAAAAAAATCGTAGCTTGGCTCAAGCCTTGGCTCAGCCTTGCCTCAAGGCCGCCGCTGCTCGAGACGAGCCGAGCCGGCCTCGCCCGCGCCCCCCGGGCGCGCTGCCCGGGGCAGGTCGGGATGGGGGCGCCCTCCCTCCTGACCTGCCCCTCCCCTGCGCCATGGCGGCGCTCGCTGGCCTGGCGGCCGGCCGCGCGCCTGGCCGCGGCCCTGCTACCGCCGCCGCGCCCTCGCAGGCGGCACGCCGGCGTCGGCAGCGGCGTGCGGCCGCCGCCCGCCTGGCGGCTGCCGCGGCCGGTGGCTGCGCCCCCCTCCGCAGCGGCACGCCTGGAGGCTGCCCCGCCGTTGGCCGCCCTCCCGTGCCCCCGCGCCGCGGGCGCGGCCGCGGGGCGCCGGGCCGCCTGGCCGCTGGCGGCCGCCGCGCTTGCCGGCGCGCAGGCGCCGCGGGCGCCTCTGGCGCCGCCCGGCGCTGCCGGCGGCCGCGGGGCGCCGCGGGCGCCGCCGCCGCCGTTGGCGCCGGGCGCGATGCTGGCGCGGCCGACAAGGCCGGGCCGCGGCGGCCGCGGGCGCCGCGGGCGGCCGCTGGCGCCGCCTGCCTGCCGGCGGCCGCGGCGCCGCGGGCGTCGCCCCGCCGGTGGAGCCCGGGCCGCCGCGCGCCGGGGTGCCCATCGGCTGCCGCGGCGCCGCCGGAGCCGCGGGCGCCGCTGGGGCCGGCGCCGCGGTGTTCGTGAGCTGCCCGCCGCCGCCGCCCCTGCTGCGCCGCCGCCGCGTGCGGGCCGCGGGCCACGCGGCTGACGCCACCTCCTCAGCGGCTTGGCGAGCCGCCACGGCCGCCGCGGGCCCCGCGCGGGCCGCTATCGCAGCGGCGGCGGCGCCGCCGCTGCCAGCTTGCGCTCCCCCCCGCGTCAGCTTCAGGCAGCTGCGACTGCAACAGACGCCGCAGCAGCACATCATAGCAGCAGCAGCAGCACAAGCAGCCGCAGCAGCTGCAGCGCAGCAGCTGCAGCGCAGCTGCAGCTGCAGCTGCAGCAGCAGCAGCAGCAGCAGCAGCAGCAGCAGCTACAGGAGCAGCAGCTGCAGCAGGGCACCCCTGAAAGCCAGCGGACCCCGCAAGAAGGAGGTACCCTTGCTCCAGCTGCAGCAGCAGCAGCAGCAGCAGCAGCACCAGCTGGCAGCCCTGGAGCAGCAGCAGCAGCAGCAGCAGCAGCAGCAGCAGGGCACCCCTGGAAGCCAGCCGACGGTCAGAAGGATCTCGAGGCACCCTTGCTCCCTGCCGTCCTTCCGAGCACCCCTGGAAGCCAGCAGACCCCGCAAGACGACACAGGGTCCGTCAGGCCAGAAGGGAGCGGAACGGGTCAGGAGGAGGTACCCTTGCTCCCTGATGCCCGGTCTCCGAGACTTCAAGGCACTCTTGCACCTCAACGCCCGAGCCATCTTCTCGACTCCAGCTGCCCGGAAGAGGTTCCCTTGCACCCTTGCAGCCCTGTGTCCAGTGGCGAACGAGGCACCCCTGCTTCCCTTAGCCAGGCTCGTCTTGCCCTCCCGGGCCCCCCTGGCGGCCAGCAGAACTCTAAAGAGAAGTCGAGCCCGGAGCGGATATAGCGTCAGGCTCACAAGGAGAAAACGGGCACGTTGGGCCAGAAGGCAGCCAGGATGTCACGTCGGACCCCCTGGTGCACTGATATCACAAAAACAGAGCAGCCGTTAGCTGCACCCCGACGAGGCACCACTCTGGCGGCGAGGGATCCGCGTGAGCTCCTGGCCAGCTGCCGCATCCCTGGACGCAGGTTCCGTTGCTCCCTGGCGGGGCGGGATCCGCGAGAGCTCAAGGTACTCTTGCCTCCCGGCGCCCCTGCCCTCCTCACGGCTCCGGCTGACCGTTGGAGTTCCCTCGCACCCTTGCCGCATTGCGTCCGTGGGCGTTCAAGGCACCCTTGCCTCACCGTGCCCGTGCGCTGCAGAGGGCAGGCCCGTGCTGGAGACGGCTCCCGCCTGCTCCCTCACTGCCAGCTTGAGCGCGGATCACAGCAGCGCCCGTCGGC